ACCAGATTGTCACTCCATCTAGTGGGGGGTCGCCCTACACTTTGCCTACCGGTACGAGGCTGCCGCTCGAAAACCTTTCTTGCCCATCGGTTGTCGGTTCTTCGAGCAATATGGCCAGCCCACTGCCACTTCAGCTTACTAATCCGTTGGGCTATGTCAGTGACTCTGGTCCTACTGCGGATATCCTCATTTCTAAGTTTATCACGCAGAGACACCCCGAGCATAGCCCTCTCCAGAGCTCGCTGAGCGACCTTGAGCTTCCTCATACGGCCAGCAGTGAAAGACCATGTCTGAGGTCCGTAAGTCATCACTGGCAACACGCACTGGTTGTACAATTTCGTTTTCAGGTTATGAGGTATGTCTAATGAGAAGATGTGTCGTAGTTTCCCGAACGCTGCCCTGCCGAGTTGAATCCGTCGATTGACCTCTCGGTCGAAGACTTACCTAGCCGGACTATTTGTCCCAGGTAAACATACTCGTCAAAAACTTCGAGCTTAGTGCTCCTAACAACTACCGGCATAGGTGTAACATGGACGTTAAACATGATTTTTGTTTTGTCCACGTTCATCTTAAGACTTATTCGTTGGTAGACACTTGAGGTCATTGAGCCATAAGGACTATATCGTCGGCAAATCGAAGGTTTGTGATGTACTCGCCATTGATGTTAATACCGTATCCTTTCCAGTCCAGAAGCTTGAAAACGTCTTCCAATGTAGCGGTGAAGAATTTCGGGGATATAACGTCACCCTGTCTTACACCTATCTGCAGTTGGATAGGTTTCGTACTCTGATTGTGTACTCGGATAGCCATCGTAGCTCTACTGTACAAATACTTCAGCACTTCGATATACCGATAGTCAACTTGGCACCGCTGAAGGGACTGCAGCACCGCCAAAATTTCGACGGAATCAAAGGCTTTCTCATAGTCCACATACGCAAGGCAAAGCGGCAGATAATACTCCTCTGACTTCTGTACAATCTGCCGCAGGGTATGCATGTGGTCTATGGTACTAAAGCCTTTTCGGAAACCGGCTTGTTCGGGAGGCTGGAGGTCGTCAAGTCTGCGTGCGAGACGATGCGTAATGACTTTCGAAAACAGCACGTAGACGCGGCTTAGAAGGGAAATCGGTCTGTAGTTCTTCAAGAGAGCGTTGTCGCCTTTCTTGAAGAACAAGACTACCGCACTTCTGCTCCACGCCTCCGGAGTAATGCCACCATGGAGGACGAATTTAAGAGCTTCTGAAGGACTTTAAGTACCGGTTTTCTACCCGCTTTCAAAAGCTCAGTTGTAATTCCATCCTCGCCCGGGGACTTGCCGTTTTTAAGGTGCTGGAGAGCCATTCTAATCTCGCTCAGACTGATGTCCGGGATATCTTCGGAATAGTGTCGGATAAGACTCGCTCTTGGATCGTTACTCACACTTGCGTGTGGCTCCAACGATGACGTGTACAGCTGCCCATAGAACCTCTCAATCTCACTCAAAATCTCAGGTGTCCCGGAAACGATGCTGCCACACTCGGTCTTCAGCTTTGACAGTTGGCTCTTTCTGGCAGACAGATCTCTGGCAAAGACTTTGGAGCCTTGGTTCCAATCGATCGCTTCTTCAATACAAGCTGTGTTGAAGTTGCGTAAGTCCCGCCGCATGCATTTGGAGATCTGTCTGTTCAGTTGCCTGTATGCTGTCAAATCAGTTCAAGAGTGTAGATTCATCTCTCGTCTAACAGCCATGAGATTTGGAGTGTGATCGGAGAGTTTTTGTGTTCTTCTGCGGCGAGTCTTGCAGAACTTAGCTCCAACCGCATGGACAGTTTCCACGAGCTTGTCATTCATATCGTCCACTTCATTGCAGTCTTCTAGGCTCTGAAACGGTTTTGTAACTCGAGCTGAAAGGTTTCGGGGCTTTGGAACAGAATCTAACCATTCGGTGATCGCTAACAATTTTCACCCTCGCGATCACGGAGACATCACTAAACAGTTGTCGTCTGGTCGTCATAATGAAGTCAATCTCATTTTTTGTCGAACCGTCGGGGCTCGACCAGGTCCACTTCCTGTGAGGCCGCTTCTGGAAGAAAGAGGTCATGATAAAGAGTCCCTCTTTCTCCATAAAGTCTGGCCCCTTGGGTTCCGTTGCCCTATTCCAAATTTCCCTACTTTCAGCTCAGCATTCTCTCTTGTGCCTAGTTTTGCATTGAAGTCTCCCATTAACACCGTATAGTGGATTTTGGAGGAATGCATGGCTCTAGAGATATCCTCATACATTTCCTCCACCTCTTGATCGGGGTGTGCCGAGATTGGTGCGTAAACCTGTATGACCTTCAGCGAATACCGTTTGGTGATTCTGAGTACAAGGTACGCAACCCTCGTCGACACATCCTCAATCTTTGCAACGTTGTTAACGAGAGACTTGTGGACGATAAATCCGACACCTCCTTGGGACAGATGGTCGCCCTCCCGGTGATAGAACAAGTTTCCGGATTCGAGGATTACCGTGTCCTCCCCCTCTCTTCGGACCTCGGATAGTCCTATAATATGCCAGCGTAACTTGTCTATCTCTTCTTCCAGCCCCACGATCTTCTCGTCAGTCTTCAGGATGCGTGCGTTGTATGTTGCCAGTTCGAGTCGTTTTAGGTGGCAACCGAACCTCCACCGGAGATTCTTAGTACCCCCTGCCCCGCCGTTACCATGGTCGCCACCGTAGTCAGGAATAGCGGGGCCGCCGGGTCTGGGGGCCGTCTCTTTGTTGCTCTCATTATTGGGGGGTATTTGCCATAGTTGCCACGCTTGGCGAGCGAGTTGGCAACCGCAGTTTTTTATTGTACTTTTGCTGTTATCAGGAAGATGCTGCCCTCTCCTGCCTGTTTCCCTTTGTCGCCTTTTACGACACCCACGTGAAGATATGGGGTAGTGGATATTCATAACCGCCACCACACGGCAAACGTTTTATACTATGCTTATCGCTAAACGCTAAAGGAAAGGCGACCATATAATAGATTTTTTTATGTGATCAAATCAATCAAAACAGTGTAGCCACACTGCGCTACTTTGCAGCGAATGATTACGAGTATGGTGGCATTTAAATAACATTATCAAGTCTGCTCATTGTCATACACACATCTACCTATTTTCTACGTTTAAAGTAGTGAAATACCTCTTAACGTCGTAGAGCCACGCTGCAGCTATATGGGTTGACTCTACCGGCCAGCCCATAGTGGTGAGAATGGGCAAATCTTTTAAGAAAAGTGACATCTGAAGCATTCTTGAAATATCCTATACTCAGTAGTAAGTACATTCAAAAGGTTAAGAGGAAGAAGAATTTTTCTTGATTTTGAATTGATCTTGTCAACATCAATCTTTATATTATGGTTGTAGCACAATTGGATAAGGATCACGATTTCACAGTGTTTCGTATGATGAGCGTAGAGATTCGGAGACCGTTTTTTTCTGAAAATAAGGCATTCTATCTTAGTTCCCAGGGGTGACAACGCATCTGCATTTTGATTCTTAATCGATATCAAAGTAGATATCAGTAGGCCATAGCATCCACTTACCATCAGGTGGACTGTGTGTCTGTCGGTTTGCACCCATATTCTATAAAAAAAAATAAAAAAAATGTTTTTGCCGACCAATCGACCCTTAACCACTCAACCGTCCACGGTGACTACCACAAGTGACTACAGTCCCCTAAAACCATTATTGCCTCACCTGTCTAGGCACCAAACGACATCTTTCGGTTTAAACGCGTACAGGTCAAAAGACCTGTACGCGTTTAACTGTAAGCTGTTATTAATACAGTAAAAAATTACAGATGGTGCTATATGTAATTTGTCGTCTATAAAAGTGAATTTTATCTGTATAATAGTAACAAAATATTTAGAAAAAAAAATGTTAAAATTAAATTTCGCTATTTTTGTTTGTAGAATGTTAACGTGTAAAGCCGCGTCACCACCAAAGTTTTGTTGTCAACAAAACATTTGGCAACAAAAGTTGTTTCGATTTTCGGCGGCAACATCAAAGGAATACGCTTGTTTCTAATGTTATTGTACATCAAACTAATTGTGAAAATATTTTCTTTAGTAAATATGTATCATTACGACAATTCCAAAACATTTACATATAATAATTTTGCTCTAAATTTTAATCACTATACACGATCATCGTTTATTGATTATATGTTGTTTAAAATGTATTCTAATCAGTTTTTTGTGTTAAATGAATGCAAAATATAAAATAATGATTCACTATTAACACGTTGATAGCAATTTATAAACGAAATATCTGTTGAGATGTGTCTAAAAATTATTACAACCTATCTTTTTCATTTATTTACTTATTTATTCAAATTTATATTGGGTAAACATTATATATATATTTTATATATTATTTATTACTATATTGAGTATATAAGATATTATTGATATTGGTGTCATTTTAAAGGCAATATCATGTACTATTTTAATATAAAATAATTGTCTCCAGTAAGTGTTATTATACTTTACTTTTAAAACTCGAAATAAAAAAATAAATACGATTTTTTTTGATATTCCCATTTTTAAGCTTTATTTTTAATTTTACTAATTTTCCTTTAACAAAATAAAATTTTGAATTCTTTTGAGAATATTTTTATTTGAATGTAGTTATAGTAGTTTTTCAGTAGAAATCGTTTTTGTTAAGAGAGTCTCGCGCGGTCGTAAAAATAGTGACATTTAATGCGCGGACAGGTCAGACGAGAATTACTCGAGCGGGGCGGACGGTTGAGTGGTTATGAATGTGTGCGTGCGTATTAAAATTAGTTAAAATAATGCATTACCACGCATTTTGAATTTAAAATATAAAAAAGAATGTCTGAGACTTTTTTTAATTGATTTGTCTTCACCATTTGCCTATATTACTTATTCTGAAATTCTCTGCAAATTTGGCCGGTTATTGCAATATAACCCTGTATATCAGCTGTAAACTGTTTTAGCATATCATGCGTTATTAATACATTTTTTTTTCATACAGATATCAGCAAAAATGTCTATTAGTAATATCTACGTATCAGGCGTCTCATCAGGATCTACGGTAAAAGATGTCAGGTCAGCATTTAAAACTTTATTATACTCTCTTTAATATCCTTTTTTATTAGGTCACTTATTTCTTTAAAAAAAAGTTACCCCCTTACTAGGGTTTTCTCCTGTATCGTGGAGACAGTTTGAATACATAAATTCACAAGGACAAACATCCAGACCTGGAGCCATTATTTGTAGGCCATACAAATACTTGATCCGTGCGGGATTCGAACTCGCGGCCCTCAGCGTCGCAACTCATTGCTAAGCCACTGCGCCATGGAGCCGCCATTACGTATTTCATCAGCTCTGTCAAGTTTATTGTTTTTTAAAATGCGTAGATTGTATTCGAGTATAAATCTTGTTGCAATTTGATTTGATAGAGATTAGGATTAGAGCCATGTTTACGTGATAGAGGCATGCTGAAGCTGTATTAGTAGTATAGTTTTAGCAGAAATGGGCTCGACTGGGGAAGGACCACGCTCTCCCACAATACCAGAGTAAAATAGCAGCTCAACTCAATAAGAATAGCTGCTGTGTTTTGTATGGCATGTAAAACTAGAAACCCATTTTACTGGAAACGAGGCATTCAATCTTAGGCCTCCCGGGTGAGAACGCATCTGCATTTTGATTCGTAATAGAGGATAGTTTAAGATATATATAAGCCACAGCAACCACTTACCATCAGGTGGACTGTGTGCTCGCTTGTCACCCTTAACCTATAAAAAAAATTGAGTTAAAAGAAGTTGAAGTCATTCTGTTTTAAAATTCAATAATATCCGTTATAGAATACATTACTCAATTTTGTGCCTCAATGCTATGAAAAATACCAGAAGATCTCATGGCTTCTCACGGATGCCGGTATAATCATCTCATTTACGCCAGATGTAAAATACCCAGATCGGAGACTGGCAGCAGCGTAAAATGTTTGAGACGTCTTGTACCTTTATGGACTAATTAAAAAAAATCTTACTTTCTAAAATTAACAATAATAATAAAAGCGTGTAGTGGTGGAACCCATATCGGCCCATGGATGTCGTAAAGAGGGAAATAAACTCTACTAGAATTATCTTGTGCGTGCAGTTTGGGTCATAAATCATTGGAGTATTTCGCTCTCTCACGGGGTGATATGAGTGGGACTCACAGGCCTTAGGGGCGAGCATAGTGATGCGCATTATTGTTATCGATAGTGTATATAGTTTTGTCATTATGTGGCTTAGTGATAAAAATGAAAAAAAAAATAGATAAAACAACGTTTTTATTAAAATAAGAATAATAAGGATTTAAAATAAATTATTAATGAGGTATCTATGTATTAAAAAAAGCTATGAGTACAAATGTTTGGAATGTAACAAGTTATATTAAAATTAAATATAAATATAAAGATAATAACTTATATCTAAAATTAAATTAGTTGTTATCTATAATGGCGTTGCGCCTGCGCAACATGCTCACCACCGTAGCCGGACTGAGGCCGAGCTATTATTTATGATCCCAACTGCACGCACAAAATAATTTTACTACAGGAGATAGGCGCGGCGTCTTCACAATAACACGCAAAAATACTGCTAATGCTAACCCGCCTGTGAAGCGTGATAACTATCTCAAATAGTAGTAGACTTTGATGGACTAAAGTGAAATTTAATAACAGAGTTTAATTGAAAACAATATTTCTATAATTTTCATATCCAAAGTAGTCTTTTACTTTTTTACTACTTTCGTGATACTAGTTCCACTTCCTATTTCGACGGATTCCATGTGTTAATACAGGACATGGTATTTGTGTCCATATTCAAGAAATATTCTAATGTCTGACGGGAGGCCACATTCATATCCGTTCAGTTATTTATGCGTGATGGTGTTGCATACTTTTAAACATCCTCACAAATATTCAAATATTACAATAGTAATATGATTTGTTCATATATTATAATCAAACACTTTTAATTTTGACAGACTACGTGCCGAGGATGACAGTTTTCACATGGAAATAGATATGTTTACACCACAAATAATTTCCAAAGGCCATTACAGCGGCGGGGGAAGCTACAACGCATTACGCATCAATGCTTCTGGCGACTTTAACACCATTATGAGTCAGTAAAATCTTATAATATTATAATGCACCGATGTTGTAAATTATAGATCTTGACTTGAAGTAAGCGAAATTAATAACTCTACCACAGCGTCACCTGTCATTCGCATTCATGATTTTATTTTATTTTAATTTAATCCAACATATTATACACTCAACTTATTACCTATAATGCTGCTGTGTTTAGTAAGGTAAGTAAGGTAGAGAACCGAAGAACTTTAGTTTTTACTGAAAACGAGGCGTTCCATCTTAGTCCTTAGAGGTGACAATGCATTCTGCATTTTGATTCTTAATCGAGGAATGATGTTCCATTCTATATTTTTAAAAAAATGTTATATTGTGAATATGAGTTATTTCAGTCCATAAATATAGAATTTACTATACTTATCTTCACGCACAATCCCTGACGGGGTAGCCAGAGAGAACAGATCGCCAAGTGTCACGATCCTTACAAACCTCTTTCGCTTCTTTCAGATTCATTATCTTCTTCATGCATGCACGTCTAGGTATCCGAGTACTCTTGACCCTACCCTCTTCGAGCAATTTGCTCACATGGTCTTCGAAAGTTAGTCTCGGTCTACCTCGACACCTTTTAATATTAACTTTCGCGCTATATATTTTCTTCACCATTCGGTCTTCACTCATTCGCTCAACGTGCCCAAACCACCGAAGCACGCCCTTATCAATTTTTGTGATAAGGTCATCTTTCAAACCTGCCATATTGCGAATCTCTTCGTTTCGCTTTCGGTCGGCCATAGTAATGCCGCACATTTTACGAAGAAAAATATAGAATTTGTTAACAATTTGACGAAAGCTATGGGAGCCTAGCATAGCTAATAACAAATAACAATTCAAATATAAATGTACTTATTATGTGAAGTTATATGACCACTAACAAATGCATCAACGATTATAATACATAAATATTGTAAGCACATTCATAAAACCTCCGTTGACAATGTTTTGCACTCTGTCTTGTTAGGACTAAAAACAAACGCAGTCCATAAATTATTTTTTAAAACAACGTAATAAGCAACAATATACAGAATAATATTGTTGCTTATTTAATTTAAAAAACAACTTTGTAGCGATCACCGTCTGAATCTAATATCAGTTCTGTTAGTAGGGTCTTTTAGTTTACATATTTGTATTTTAAATACTTCTCTCTTAAATATTTTAGAATTATAAATATTAATAATAATAAATAATAGAATTATAATAATTTAAAAAACAACTTTGTAGCGATCACCGTCTGAATCTAATATCAGTTCTGTTATTGGGGTCTTTTAGTTTACATATTTGTATTTTAAATACTTCTCTCTTAAATATTTTAGAATTATAATTATGTATTGTTGTTATGACCCTCTTTTGCAAAAGAAATATACCTAATTACTTTCACTGTTAACCACGTTTCCTCCTTGCAAAATTTTATAAATTATGACATAATATATTCAAAATAGCTAAAATATACCAACCTAGGGCAAGTTGGTATTATTTAGTTATTTTTTATTTTGTCTCTTCTAAAAATCTATCCCACTTGCATTCTACTAATCAACTATAAATAAAACTCTATCCCACTTACACTCTACTAATCAACCATAAATAAAAATCTATACCACTTACACTCTACTTATCAACCATAAATAAAAATCTATCCCACTTGCACTATATAAATACCCATAAACATTAATATTACAGGTGACCTGACATATACCTGGAAATTAGATGGAACTCCTGAAAAAATCGATGGCGAAACATATGTAAGAATAAATTCGTTTTACATGCGACCTGATGTCGGCAATATGGTGACAAATATGACTAACGAGAATCCTGATAGCAAGGAATTGAGTAAGTTTTTTTTTTAAAATTGTAGTGTTGTTTATATTATGTGTTTTCTGTTGCGGTGGTTAATAATAATTCGGTATAGAGTAAGTTTTTGTTGAAATTATACCATGTGGTAGCGGTGTAAAAAAATTCATCACTCCAGTTCCTTCTGCGGGTGTCGTAAGGAACGACTAAGGGTAATGTCAGAGAAGTTTTGTAGCTTTTGAAAGATGCTGATATAAAATCTCTTAAAGGCTTAAAATATCAAGACCAGTGACGGAGAGTGACGTCACAAGACGTCTGGTATAGAAATCGTCAATTCGCTTACCCTGTGACAATCGAAGCAAATCCTCCCTATAACAGGTTAGCTCCATATCCAGCAGTGGCCTTTTAGGGTCCAATGATGACATAGAAGAAGCTTTCAAGGAGTTGATAAGCATACCTTCTGACACTCGTGTTATAACAACACTTTGCCTTTGCTATGGAAGGGTGAGATTACAAGGAGCTCCTACACTGAGGATACTACGGCTTTTTAGGCGTATTGTGATGGTCAGAAAATTATAAATCTTAGTTGTTAACAACGCACCTGCATACTTCTTTGTTTTGAAGTTGACCACAAGTGTCTATCAGCTACAGTACACTTATCATCAAGTAAATAGTTTTCTGATGTCATTTTAATCAAAAGCTCCCTATAATAATAATGTCCTCCAGACCAAATTTCCGTTACGGTGGCCAGTCTCATCAGAGATTGACCCATCTGCGTTAGATAGGATTAAAAAACAAGAGTGAGTGTGAAAGCAGAGGTGCGCTCTCTATTCCCTGGCTCTCATAGCCCGATTGACGGCAATCCGACATGATCGTTATGAGGTGAGTCGCAAGACCAACCGGTTTACGTGCTCTTCCGAGGCAAGGAGGTGAAGCACTGTACTTCCTGAATCCTGACTGCTATTGATTTCTTGACGGAAAATTTAATAACTTATTTTGACCACTTATGACTTCTAGACCGATGAGGCAGTCAAATAAATATAATGATAGGTAACTTTTCATCCTGAATTGAATCTTTTCATTTTACGCCACTTACGTAAATAAAGCTAAGCAAGTCGAACTGATAATTAGACTCCTGCGTCACCATTATTTCGTAATGTTTTAGACTTTTGTGCACTACTGTATGTTTTTATTTATTGCTAATATTATTATATTTTTGTTTTAGCTGATCTGGCGTTACGACTTACAAATCAAAACTGGAGGTTATTATATCGTGAACTTTTACCGTTTGCACAAAGCAACTGGAATAAGACCGGTATTCGTATCGCTAACAAACTTTTCCTTAAAGTACCCTATGACCAGTTGTTCCCAGTAAAATCTTAAATGATTTCTATCTTCTTTAATTTCCGTATTGGGGTACTTTTGTGTATAGGTTTGTGATAGTATGTTTAAGGTTTTAAGGCGTATTGAACTAATTTATCTACTATGTTTAAGTATTTTGTTAGCTACGTTAATTTATTATATTACATTTTATTTTTATTTTTATAACTATTATTATATGTAATAATATTATGAAAATCAAAATTATGTTAGAAATGTTGTATTCAGTTACAATTTCCTTTAGTATTTTTGTTGTTTTTTGTTGTTATGGTAATTTTTGTTTTCATTTGATACATATTTGGGAATGCACCTGTTTTGCCAAATAATATACAATGTATGATTCTTGTAAATAAATCTTAGAACAAATATAATATTTATCGGTATATTTTATAAGTTTCATTTCAACCTCATATATACAGCATGGTAGATATCTTGTAACTTGCACTTAATTCTTTTTTTCTATAAGTGAGGTATTATAATTGGCTTACTGTAGTTATTGTATTATCTATCCTAATAATATCTTCGAAATAAAATAAAATTTGTTACCATACCATTTATCCAATAACCTAAGATGATACTTTGGCGAATTGTTGTGAGGAAAGAGGCGAGCGCGAAGGTTTTTAATGGCATGTTTAGATTATCGGACGAACAACTCGCCGAATCACTAGCCAAGTTATTCGTGGACGAGTAGGGCGTGTTTACATATTCGTCTGTATTCATTCAACGTAGATCTTTTAAACATGGAATACGTGCGTTTTGTTGCTACGACTTTATGTCTACTTAATATTTATAGACTCACAAATATATTTTTAGTAATTAATTATTTATTTTGTACGTAGTAGAGCCAAGCTGTAGCTATATTATGGTAGTATCACGAATGGGTCGACTCGACCAGGGTAGGACCACGCTCTCACAGAATACCAGCGTAAAATAGCAGCTTAACGCTACTGTGTTTCATATGGTGAGTGTCCAGAATCGGAGACCCTTTTTACTGGAAACGTAACATTTCATCTTAGTTCTCATGCGTGACAACGAGGATAAATGTAGAATGTCTATGGGCTACAGCATCCTCTTACCATCAGGTGGACTGTGTGCTCAATTATCTGACCTTATCCTCCCTCTTATCTTGAACTGACCATATTCTCACCGCACATTTCATATCCATACATTTTACCAGGTTTTACTTAATTCTAGTACTAAACAATTAGGGAAGATTTATCGCGACACGCAGTAGTAAATTAGATACAAAATATGTCAAATTGCAACGTAAGGTGTTTGGTTCTACAGTAAAATGAACATGGTTTACTGTAGAACAAAACACACACAAGGGTGGCAGATATAATTACATAATTACATTAAAACATAGAATACCTTAAATAAACATCTTCATCTATCCTCGCTCGTATTCGATTAAGAATCAAAATGCAGATGCGCTGTCACCCCTTAGAACTAAGATGGAATGCCTCGTTTCCGTTACCATAATATAGCTGCAGCTTGCTTCTGCCACGTAAAATTATACCTAATTGTTGCATCAAACAGATTTAGCTTCTGGTGTTACACCTGACAGTAGGCTATATATATTTTAATCCCTAATTCTGCCACAGAGGTGATTATTCCAAGGTTTACAATTTTTAGCACATAATTCGAAAAGTGTACCTCACGGCTTGAAGCTATCTCTGAATCTCGTTATGGATGCTCTTGCTGCGGAAGCAGAAGGGCATCCTAGTTCTAAGTCTACAATTCTAAGTCAAACCGTGTTTGACTTAGAATTGTAGACAATGGGGTATTGTTGTCATTGCTGTTTCAGGTAAAAGGCTGTGTGGATGAATTGCATTGATGAGTTATCAGAAAGGTGTTGCTCTACATTTTCTCTTTCAGTTTTTCTCTGTCGTCTCTCACGACACCTATGGGACGATATGGGGTGGTAGATATTCTTGCACCGTCACTACATACTGGTTAAATGTATACTAGACATTCTTAAAAAATTGTTGTAACTACATCATTTTTCACTTTTTTGAATCGATATGCTAGCAATAAAACAGGTTTTATTGAAATGTTTTGAACAAATCCTTGGAAATTTTTTCTTGTTCTTATATTTTGACCTTTGAATATTTATTGGGCTGCCAGTTATCACATGTGAAAGCATTAATCCACTCACGTCTTATTTCTGGGTATTTTGGAAATCTAAAACATAATTGCTACAATAAAAAAAAGGTAACTCACAAGCGCGCAAGGCAGCGTGCCTTCAACCGCATCGCCTATATCTCGCGTCATCGCTCCCGCCGAAGTGTAATTTAAAAATTATACTATACAGAACTGTTATAAAATATACATTTGCTATAACGCTATATTTCGCGATAATCTGTGAAGTTTATATGTGTGAAAACAGAAGGCAACCAAACATCGTGGCCGCAGCCCTTGAATCACGAGGTAGATCAGCAGAAATCCAGGTGTCCAGTCCAGTGCATAGCACTCCTTCACATCCTCCCTGCTGTATAGCGAAATAGTAAATTCCCACCGCCTCATACAGTCCATTAATTTACGTAAAATCATCCTTTAAATAACTCTGAACCAGCAGTTAGTCATTTAAACCAACATGCCATTTTTGGGCTATAAAACTGCACCTGACGAAAACTTACCCCTAGAAAAGTGATGGTTACTGTTTGGTGGTCTAGCGCCGGTGTGATTCATCACAGCTTCTTACCAAAGGGGTTGGGCATTACTGCAGATGTGTACTGTGAGGAACTTAACACAATGATGGAGAAACTAGCACGTCTCCAACCAGCTTTGGTCAATCTCCCGTCCCTGCTACTCCTGCACGACAAAGCGCGACCTTATACTGCACAACAGACGGTCACCAAGTTACAAGAGCTGAGCTTGGAAGCTCTCCATCATCCGCTATAGTCACCAGATCTTGCGCCTACAGGCTTCTACTTTTCCAGAATTTGGATAATTTTTGACGGGAAAAAATTCAGTGCATATAAAATGCCTTTGAAAAATTTGTTGCTTCAAGAAGGGCTTCAGTAAACTGCCACTATATTGACAAAGATGCATCGATTGCATGGGTGATTACTTTGATTAATAGAAACAAAAATATAGAAAAAAAAATGCGTTAACTTATTTCTTGTTAGATTCTTAATCGAATACGAGAATGGATGTAGATGTAAATAATGAACAGCATCTAATTATCATCAGGTGGACTGTGTGCTCGTTTGTCATCCTTATTCTATAAAAAAAACTATTATATAATACAGCTTTTATTAGCCGATTTTACAAAAGTAAGAAAATATCAATTCAAGTGCATGATTTTTTGTAAAAAAAACATTACGAAAAAAATTGCAAAGAAAAAGATTACCGATTTTAATGATTCTTATTTTTAAGGAATGGGTTATACAGGGGCGGTTCCGTGGAATTTTGAAAACAAAACTTCCTTAGTTTGAAATATATGAAATGAAGTTTTTAATGTAACTACAGGATGCGCTATAAGTTCTGGAACTTTTGGAACTACCACGAAAAAACATTATATTTTGTTTAAATAAATATTTATTTACACATGTACTGTAGGGTTCAATATTGTTAAATAAATAAAAATATAGGTATTAACATGGTTCTGTTACGGTGAATAGAAACCATCCACTATCTTTTTCTTCTTCATTTCTTATTAATTTTCTTTTAATGGTAAACGTATAAAAAAATTAATAACTAATAGCACAAAGGCAAAACGCAGCAACAGTTTCATTAGGTCACAGGTACATCGCAGCGGGCATCCGGAGTTCAAGTATAACAACGAGTGTGTACATGCTGTGTTCGAGCCTCTACGTGACGAGAGGCACGCGAGATGACGAGACGAGCGTGTACAGCCACCATGAGATTCTCCAAGGCACATTAACATGTTGCCGTATTCACGAGCACTATAAACGTACGCGTTAGGTATTATTAAAACAAAACAAGAAAAACAAAACGTAATAACAAGAATGTAATAAACAAAACGATTGAACTGTCGCCCACGCGCATGTGATAGTCAACACGGAATTGTCTCAAAAATTAAATTAATAATCAATCCCGCCAAAACAAATGCGCACGATGCATTCGTCCTTGAGCACTGAGCACTACCACATACCGTAAAACCCTTACGACATTGCCAACGTTTATTTTATTTATGTTTTGTTATCCCTACGACTAGTCTTCATATGGAATTTAGAAGTTATGGTTGTCATTTTAATACAATTACACAATCAATTGTACCCTGACGCAATAAGCAGTTCTTTACTACAAAAATTATATTAAAATTAATAAACTTACCTAATTGGGTACTCAGTACTCAGTTACACAATTATGAACACTAATACATCGTTATCTTTGATTTTGTATAAGAAAATAGAAATGAAATGGTACTGAATAATTTAATAGTTAAAATCAATTGCAATTATGAACGACAGTTAATTAATCTATCAAAATAAATGTAAAAAAATAATACTTTTACTTTATTTTAATTGACTTTTCGTATTTGATCCGACCAATACTTTGAACTTAAAAAGAGGTCATCATTACAGTCCTTCACAAGTCCACTGCTGAACATAAGCCTCCCCCAAGGTATGCCACAAAGCACGGTCCTGAGCCACCTGCATCCGTCGACTTCCTGCATGTCTTACCATGTCGTCACTCCATCTAGTGAGGGGGCGCCCTACACTTCGCCTGCCGGTACGAGGCTGCCACTCAAGAAGGTTCTCTTCTCCATCGGTTGTCGGTTCTTCAAGCTATATGGCCGGTCCATTGCCACTTCAGCTTACTAATCCGATGGGCTGTGTCGGTCACCCTGGTTCTACTGCGGATATCCTCATTTCTAAGTTTGTCACGCAGAGAAACTCCGAGCATAACCCTCTCCATAGCTCGCTGAGTGACTTTGAGCATTAAAAATAGGTACGTCAAAATTATTAAAAATCACCTCTAATTCTTATGTCGCTGGCAAACTAAATTTCCGTGCAACGTGGCAGCGTTGCCAA